CCCGAGCGGAGCTACCCCCTTCTCCTGAGCGTTAACCATAAGCGTCACACTCACTTCTGCTCTTGAGCGATTTGACCCGGAGGGTCATTCGCCCGGATCAGGATCGGCACGACTCACAGTAGATCCAGTCAATGGGACAGTTGCGCTGGTCACAGAACTGTATTTTGATGCCGGATTCTAGCAGATTGGCTAAAAATATTAAGATCTGTCCAAACCGCAACTTTCTACGTTCAATATTAACTGGATTGCATTTTGCAAAAAGGAACCACTAGCATTGCAATGATGCTAGGATTGTGCATCTTCATCCTTTGCAATAAAATTGCGGAAATCGTGAAAAACTATGAAATTTAGACGGCAATTTTTGTCTTAAATTCACAGTTTTAAGCGAGTAAAATAGAGACTATTAATGGATAATCGGGTTTTTCCTCCAAGACAAAAGAAGTTGCACGATCTTAGCAACATTGCAATGCTAGTGGTTCCTTTTTGCAAAATGCACTCCAACTGAGATATCGCCCTTTGAAAAGTCGGGTTTTTGACGTCATCCAGCGCGGTAGTGACACTCTTGGTCTCTTCCACCTTGGTTTGATCAGTCGAGGAGACACACATGCACACTGGTTACTCAACATGAAACGCGGATGAATGCAAGGTGGAAGAAACCAAGGGTGTCACTACCGCGCTAGATGACGACAAAAACTTCAAAGGGCGATATCTCGATTAATATTGAACGTGGAAAGTTGAGGTTTGGACAGATCTTGATATTTTCAGCTAATCTACGACAAACCAGCACCAAAACACAATTCTGTGACCAGCGCGTCGGACCCATTAGACATGAAATTTTTGACTAAAACGGCAAATTTTGATGTTTATATCGTCATATTTTAAATTTCAAGGGGTGCTAATAGCAGAAAATTTTGCGAGGAAACCAATGAAATCACTTTTAGGACCTGAAGTTTTGTATGAACGGAGTTATAAGCGTTTAAAGTTTCCGAATTTCGTCCGACCTCTCCTATTGACTCGATCCTCTGTGCGACTGGGTGACGGTCTCAACTCGTTCGATTTTTTCTCGGTTTGTACCGGAGACGATAAGACATAAAAATAAGGAAATATATCCAATGGTTCTACTGTTTATGACTTTACATTGATAAAAATTGGTGAAATTCTGGATTAAATATCATAAAAATAGAGGAAAATAAAATAGACATTGACAATGGACGGATTCGATCGGAATCAGGGATACGAATTCTTAGTTGTTTCTTAACAGGTCTAGCATTAGGGTCACACTGTAAGTAAGGGGGCTTTAAGGGCCCAAGAATGGTTATACAGGCACTGACTTGCGTGATATGAAGCGCTAGAACGCCGTATGAGTATTTGAACGTTTCTCTCTTGTTTTTCAAAGCGCCTTCAAATGACGATGATACTCCGCCACACTCCAAAGCTCGAATAGTGGTATCACAGAAACAAGCTTGTGTGATATAGAGAGAGATGAATGATATATTTTCTCGTGCCTGAAGAAATAAACCGTCCGATGAAATGTATCGTCTCAAACGATTAAAAATCGGTCGAAGCCACCCAGAGATCTGATTTTTGAAATTGATAGACAAAACGATAGATAAAGAAGACAAAAGGGGTATGGAGGGGTCTCACCGGTGGAAGCGTGTGGTTGTAATGAACAAAGGATGTACGTAATAGACAGACTAACGGCAACCCACGACAGCGGGTCGATTATTGAGATTGATAGACAAAGCTATATACAAAGAAGACAAAAGGGATTTGGAGGGATCCTATTGGTGGAAGCGGGTGGTTGCAATGGACAAAGGACGTGGGTGATAGACTAACCAACGGCAACCCTCGAGAGACCCGATAATTAGTCCATCATTTTCTCCCTTAGTCTATAAAAGCCACCCGTTTCCAACTATAGGATCGCTTCGTACTCTCTG